GGGGGGGGGGGGGGGCAGTCCCTCGTTGCTCCTCGACGCAGGCAGGAGCACGGCCTGTGGTTTGACTCCTCGCAACCTCTGCCCTGTTTCTCTGTCCAGGTGATCAACACCAGGAGCTCGGTAATGACCTTCTCCACGACGCCCGTGAGATCCAGCATTAAACAAGGCTACTTCATCTTCGGAGAGCAGGAGGTAGCAGGGCCCTGGAGCGGGGGCGGGGGGGGCGCTTTCCTTGCAGACCTCGGATGCATTGCATGGGGGGGAGGTCTGTAAACAGGTTGGGGGCTTCGCCTTGCCTCTCTGGTTGCAGAGGCAGAGTCAATAATGCAGGTGCGAATCCGCCCCCCACAAGCTGGAGCACACCCGGGGCTGGCCCGGGGTCAGTGTTACCTGCCTTCCCCTGCTGCAGCTGCGGCTCACGCATGCGAGTCCAAGCCTCCTACACACTGCGCCGTGGCAGTAGCACGTTAGACGGTGCAGCCCGTCCGGGCGAGGCGTGGGAAAACGCGTGCGCAGTGTTGGCTGATCTCACCTTGGACGCCTCAGGGCCTGTGCCCTGCAGAACACCCGGCCCTCCCCCCTGGCCGCCGCGCCGCTAGGAGCATCCCCGTATCCCCTTACTGTGCACAGTGCTAAAGTGAGGATGCCAACACACCCATGGGACTTAAAGGGCCTAGTGAAAATCAAGGCACCCACCAGTACCCCCAGCGCCCGGGCATGGCCAGAGTGGTGTCCGCGCCCCCCCACCTCAGTGATGGGGTGTCTGCAAGCACAGCCGCCCTTCTCTTCCCCCCAGGTGATGTTCCCAGACCTGCTGCCGCAGGAGGACATGGTCCTGATCACCCGCTTTTACCACTGGCCCAGCGGGAGCGTGGCCATGGCCCCGTGGGACGCGGGCTCTGGAGGGGCCCAGCTGCTCCTGGACCGCGACGCTTGGGTGGCCGCGTGGGCCATCCTCAGCTTGACCCGTGAGCTGCGTGGTCCCCCGGTGTCCCAGCCAGCATCGCTCACAGCAGCGGTGATAAAAGCTGGCTCTTTCGCATCTTGTCGTCGCAGGGCAGGGGAGGAAAGGGGACCGGCGAGCAGCTGTCTGGAGCACGGGGACCCATGACCTGACCCTGTATCACGGCCCCGTGCCTCCGGCCCGTGCGCTCATAGCACTGGTGAGTCTGGCCAGCGGGGAGGAGACGGCCAGCGCCCTCATTGCCATTTGGGATGTAAGAAGGAGACTGGGAAGCAGGAGGCTGAGGGATCGGTCCAGCTGCCCTTGATTTGCTGGAGCAAGACTCAAGCCCTCCAGGTCCCTGAGGAACAGCGTGGTAGCAGGCGGATGCCCTACTAACTATGGGGAGGCTGAGCAGGAGCTTGGGTCTGACCCGCGCGGGGAGCTGGGAGGCAGCAGGTGGGGTTTTGTGCCGCTCCCCCCTGACGCCGGACACCCGTCTCAGCCCGAGGAGGGACAGCACCGCAGCTGGGAGCCGTACGGCGATGCCACCGTGAGGCTGCACATCTTCAGTGGCGAGAAGCCGGAGCTGCCTTTCCCCCCGGAGACCCCGGTCACGCTCGGCCGTGTGCTCGCCTGGCCCCGTGTGAGTATTTCTTGGCAAAGCCGCGGAGACTGGCTCTCTGGTGCCCGGGGGGGATTCAGGGGAGAGGCGTCCGGGAGCTGCAGCGGGGGAGCCAGCAGCTCCATCCTGGCCTGAGCCCGGCGTACGACATTGCAAACCGGCTCGGGGAGAGCCAGCGACTCGCCTCAGGGCTGGCACAACCCCAGAGCCGGATGGGCTGGGCGACGTCCCCCCGTGCATTCGCATCTGGGCTCCAGCCGAGGAAGGGGAGCAGCTGGGCAATGCTGCTATCAGAGAGCCCCCGGCCTGGCGCCGGTCCTGCTCCCTGCACAGGGCACCGCTGAGCTGAGGGGTCCCGGCGGTCGTGCAGCAGCGGTGGCGTCTCGTTGCCTGCCCAGCCCCAAAGCCGTCGTGCTGCAGGGCCCTGCATCACCATGGCCCTGTCCTTGCAGGCTGCCTTCATCCACCACGTCAGAGACACGCCGGCCGTGGAGCCCTTTGGCGCCAGGGATGGCTTCCGCCTCTGCATCGACGGGGCCCGCTACCTACCGGACGCTGCCACGATCAGCCGCGTCGCCGGCCGCATCCTCGACAGCAGCTACTGCCAGTACGGAGCAGCCCCCTGCCCCTTGCGGAGGCATGCGCCGGTCGGCACGGAGCCGTCCAGCAAAGATGCAGGCACCGATCCGTGTTAAACCGTGTCCTGGCAGGCGTGCGGATCTCAGCCCTTCGTGGCAGTGCCAACTCCGAGACACGGGAGCCTGAGGCTGCAGGGTGGACCCGCTGCCCAGCGTGCCCAGCGCCGGCGCGGTCCAAAGGCAGCACCAAGGGGCTGAGGGGGCGACCTGACCTCTGCCTCCTCCTTCCCCCCACTCAGAATCGGGCCAGACATTTCCACGGGGATCGACCTGAACAGCAGCATCTTCGAGCCGTCCTACAACTACAGCCTGGACGTCCGGGGCCTCGCGGTGCCGCCCTCTGCCACGCTCCTGCTGAAGGTCCGTGCTGGGCTGGGGCAGGTCGGGGGCAAGGGCTGAACGCGGTGGGGGGACCTGGCCAGAGGTAGCCGATGGTGCTGGCGGAGAAACCCACGGCGCTGTCGCAGGCCGGAGCTGGGGCCAGGACAGAACAACCCGCTCAGCCCGGAGGGGACATTGCCTTCCTCGAGCAGGGCAGGGGCCCCTCCTAGGATGCTCTGGGCATGGCTCACCTGCCACACACGGTGCTGATGGGCTGGGGTGCGTTGGGAGTGTGGCCGCATCGTGCGCGAGGGGCGGGAGCCCCCCGATCCCTCCCTCGAGCGCAGGGGTGCCGCCATTCTTCCAGCTCTACTCCACAGACTGGTTCAGCCGCCGGCTCGTCGTCCTCGGCTGGGCAGCGCTCAACCTCTTCGTGCAAGCCGGGACGTGCAAAGCCCCCCCGGCCGATGCCACGAGGAGCCGGGTGAGCCCCACGCGCGCGTGCATGTGAACACGCCCCCCCCACGGAGGAGGGAGGTGGGGGGCACATCAGCAGGGGAACTGGGCATCCCCGGGGGCAGCGCCCCCAGGCCCACGGCAGCAGCCTGGAGGGTGCAGGGAGGGGACTGGTTCACGCCGTGACCCGCGGCCCTCGGTCTGAGCAGGTCTCCCTGAACGACGGCCCCCACCAGCTGCGCCTCTACCACAGCGGCCCCGACACCACCCAGCCTCTCTCCACGGACAGCCTCAGGGCTGGCGGACGGTAACACCGGTCACCTCCACCCTCCCCTGCCTCCCTCCGCGTCCTCAGGGAGGTCCTGCCCTTTGCCCTGACCCCAGCACCGCTGCCCCCTCCAAAGGTACGTGCCGTGCGCCAGCCTGCTGGTCCGGCTGCTCCCGGCCCCCCGGGAGCCCAGAGTCCTGGAAGGGAGCGTGGCGGCGCCCTGGGAAGACCTCGTCCAGCCCCGGCCCGACTACGCCGACGGGGTCTATTACTCGGACGCAGCCAGGCCCACTGCCGGGGAGAGCGGCCTCTTCTCCGCGCTGGAAAGCAGGTGGGGGGGAGCGCGGGTCCGCACCCTCGGTTAGACTCACCTGGTCGGGTCAAGGCCACGGAGACTAGCGAGGGCACCAGGCAGGCGCTAGTGCTGGGCAACGTCCGGCCGAGACGCCCCCCTGACCCCCCACCTCAGTCCTGACCCGCAGCCTCGGAGGCCAAAAACAGAGCTCTCGTCTCGCAGCGAGCCCCAGACCTTAGGGACCGATGAGGCCAGTGGCACGTAAAGCACCTGTGAACTATTTGCAATGACACGGTGCAGCCCGCCGGGCTGCTGTTTCGATGCCAGTCGTAGCTTGGCCTAATCAGGGCAGCATGAACCTGGTTGTCTCCGTCCCAGTCTGCATCCCCCAGACTCGCAGGCCCCGCTGCCGTCCCGGTCCAGGACCCCGGGCTCCAGGCAAGCCCAGTGCAGCGTAAAGGCGTCTCGCAGCTCCCCTCGCCCAAAGCTTCCCCAGCACGGCTGCTGCCTGGGGCTCGGCCCTGAGGCTTGGGCTCTTACTGTGGCTGCCCGGGGCATTTCCTTGCATTGCTCGGGGCGCTCTGTTCCCACCACCACATCCCCCACCCCACCAGGTCTGTGGTGCTGGTTCGGGAGATTGTCCCCCAGCTCATTGGAAACCAAGGCCCGGTGCCACGGACGGACGAAGACATCGCTGCTTGGATTGCCCAGAAGCTGAGCAGGACGCCAGACAGCAGCCCTCAGCCCTTCAGCCTCACCTACGTCTCCCGCTACCTCCCTGCCTGCGGCATAAAGGTGAGCGGGACCAGCACCGGCTCGCAGCTCCCAGCCGAGAAAAACTCAATCATAGTCGCAGACCCTGGGCGCAGACACTAGCTCAGACCAACGGCCCATCTCACCAGTAAACGCTCTTCAGCGGAGGCTAATCGAAACTTTGGAGGGAGCAGCCAAGCTCGCGTGGGCTGCGCCCGGGGAAACGCAGCGATGCTGCAGGGCAGATCCCTCCTCCCCGCGTGGCGCTGAGCCGCCTGCGCTGGCCCGTTGCAGGTCGCGGTGGACGGCGCCTGGAACCTGCCCTGGTCCGGCTTGACGCTGGCTCATTTCTGCTTCAACCCACCCGGGGCTTTTTACTTCGGGAAACGGTGGCTGAAGTACGATCGTCCCGTCTTCCTGGAGGCGCTCGACCTCGACAGCTACCAGAAGTGGCCCGCGTGGCTGGACGGGTTCAAGGCAAGCATCGCCTGTACACGGAGCGGGGAACAAGGTCATTTTCCTAGTTCATTCCCATGCCCCCAAGCCTGACCGCTCCCACCACCTACAGCTCGACCTTTGAAGCATAGCTCGAGCCAGCAACCACCTTGAAAAGGCCCCGATCCTGGAGGCACAGGGGTGGAAAGCCAGCCAACTGGGGGCCACGCGGGTGCCACGCTAAGGGCTTGGGATGGGGCAGACTGAGGATTCGCGGGCTTTAATTGCCCAATTAGCTCCAGCAGCACGTCTGTCTGGTTGAGCGTTTCAGGGTGGCGCCAGCTGGTAGCTTCACACCCAGCCTCGTCCCCCCCCAGCCAGCGTCTTCTCTCCTTCCAGTCCTTCCCGCAGAGGACGTACCACGAGCATCTCACGGTGATCATCCATCTCCACGAGGTCGTGGTGACCGCAGGGGCCCCTGGCGCAAAGGCAGCCGGCCCGTCTGCAGAGGGAAGAGCCGCAGGGGGGGAGAGCGACGTGCTGGGGAGCCAGGCGTGGGCTGCTCTCCACGTGTTCTCCAAAGGCTACTGCAACACCGGTGTTTACCAGCTGCCGCTCTACCAGGGGGCTCCCAGCCAGGTAGGTACGGACCATCAGGGCCTCGCTGGGATCCATCTCAAGTGCTCGCCGTCCGAAGCGGAGGGGAGGGAAGGGGGCACGGTGACCCAGCAGAGAGGATGCGGTGGTTGCAATCAGCACGTGTTGAGGGGAAGGGAGCAGCTTGCTAGAAGGAGAAAGGGACCAAGGAGGAGGGGAGCTGGCGGCCAAGGAACAAAGTGCGACTCTCCCCTGTGCTTCCCCAGCCCCTCCTGGTTGTGCTGTCCCAGGGGGAGAGTCGCAGCGCGCTGAAGCACCTGGCTGCAGAGAACAAGGTGAGTGATGCGAAACGCTCAGCCACGGCAAGGAAGGAAGGGTCCAAAGCAGCACTAGTGGGAAGGGAGGGCTTGAGCAATGACACCCGCCCCAAACCCGGCCTGTGACCACTCCGCTCACCCCGAAAATCAGTAGGAAACCCCCTCAGCTCCAGCGTGAGCTCGTTAGCTCTGCCCAGACAGATGAGCCGCGAGCACCAGCTGGGCTCTTTCTGCTTCGAGCCTCAGCACTGTCGTGCCAGCTGCAGAACCCAGCCGGCCTCCTGGGACAGGGAGCAAGAGGCCGTCTGCCTGCAGACCAAGGTCGAAGCTGCAGCGTAGGAAAGGGAAGAGAGAAAAAAAAAAATTCCTGAAAATTTGGCTCTGTAGACTGAAATCATCAAGCGTGACTAGAGCTCCTCAGCCCGCACTGCCCCACGGCGCGAGGGGTAGCAGCCCGTTATCCGCCCCCGCTTTGGGAAGCAGCAGCCAAGGGGAAGCTGCACAGACGCATGAAACGGCAGGAGCTTGTGAGGAGTTAGACTTGCGAGTCATAGTGCAAAGCCCCATCCCCAGCATGACGGTACAGCTCGGTACAGGAAACCAAGTTACACATTAGTCAAGCAGAGCCACTGTTCGGCGTTCCTAAACCGCGTGGGATCGGGGAACCCCCGAAGGCTCCTCTCCAACGCTCCCGGTTGGATTCAGCTGGAAGCGTGTTCGAGTGGGCTGTTCAGTATCAGGTCTCTAATGCACCCCCGTTCAGTCTGCATTTCCTCTTGCGTGCGGCAGCGCTGGGCTCCACCCTGCAGGATGGACATTTGCTTATACCGTAAGGACACACACTGGTCTTCGGCCAGGCCCCTACGGCTTGAATGCTTTTCCTGCTTCATTAGGGCTGCCTCAGCAGGGGGATGTGTTATGCACAGGAAGTCGCACAGCAGCAGGCCCCGGGGAGCCTGTTCTAGTACCTCGTCACCCTCCTCCTGAGATGGTTTCTCTTAATATCCAACCTCAGCTTCCCTTGCTGCAGCCTGAGCCCATTGCTCCTTGTCCTGTCATCTGCCCCCACTGAGACCAGTCCAGCTCCAGCCTCTTTGCAGCCCCCCTGCAGGGAGCTGACGGCTGCTGTTCAATCCCCCTCAGTCTTCTGTCAGCCCTTGCCCCTGTGCAAAGCCAGAAGCAGGCACTAGGCTGGCAGCTGAATGAGGCTGTTGTAGTTACCCCGCTCTCCTCCTCCTAGATTCAGTTGTTAGAAGGGGCGTCTCTAGTTGCCCGGATAGCAGACGGCCGCCGGGAGGAGGAACTCCACACCTACAGAGCAGAGGTAAGCAGCACACACCCAGCTCAGCCAGCAAACGTGGCGGGGCTAGGGGCATAGACCTTGTCCCAGGCAGCAGACACAAACACCGCCCTCGAGCAGAGTCTCATCCTCAACAAGCAAGAGGGATTTTCACTTGGAAGTGGTAGGCTTCCCAGCAACAACTCTGCCCACTGCCATCCTCGCCGCGTGCTAGATCCCCAGGGATGAGAAGCAGGCCCCTACGGCGCCTGCTCCAGCCCGAGAGCACCGCTGCACCCAGCACTGGCACCTGATCACTCTCACAGAAGTGTTCCTGCCCCAGCTGCAGGGTCTGAGCGCACATCCCCAGGGAGCAAAGGACGGAGCCCACGCCCAAGTCGCTGCCCTCACAAAGGAACGGACACGCGATGCTGAGCATAAGAGGGTCTGCTTGTGCCACAGTGCCTGGAGCTCAGGCCCCCGAGCTACTTGCTCCACTCTTGCTCAAGGCCCCAGGAGATTGGAGCCAGACCTTCCCCCTCCGGGGGCTCTGCTGTGGGAAGCACTTGCCACATCCACCTCCCAGGGGTGCTGGTGCTCTCGGCTGGCAATACCTACCGGCACAGCAGTCCAAGTGCCCTCCACCACTCAAAGGGAATTTAGAAACAGGTTTCCCCCCCTCCCAGCCGAGACTAGAGAGCAGGACACCCTGCAGGAGAGGGAGCACAGCCAAGTCCTTTGCTGCCAATTTTCCAACTGCTTGGAAAGCCTCTTAAGCACATGCATCGCTGCACTGTCAAGAAGCCTGAGTGCCAGGCAGAGGGTCCTGCAGCAGCCAAACCCAAAGGCAGAGCTAGCCCTTGGGGAGCAACAAGTACTGCTGGGAGCAGGGGGCTGCAAGTGACCCGTGTCACAGGTCAGCTAAATGCCACTACTGCTGTGGCCATGGGAAAAGCAAGCTTGTTGTCCTGGCACAGGTCAGTGGATTCCCAATAGCCAGGAAAGCATTCATACCATCGCACAAGGGAATACCACACCATTCTGGTGCCCAGGGCTCAGGAGAGGGGATTCACACTGGAACCAGCCTGGAAGACTTGTGGCACCGGTGTCCTAATTCTTAGGCTTGCAAGGTGAAGCCAGCAAAAATGAAATCCTTTCCCTGGAGGCAACCTGGATGGACTGTTCGAAACTTGTACAAGTGTATGTCGACTACAAGCTGCATTTCCGCATGTACTTTGCTCATGGGGCAGGTAGAACTTGCATGCATCTACCTCCACGCAGGTCTGTGACCACTTGGCTCTTTCCTCCTGTTTTTGTATGTGGCACAGATGGGAGAGAGAGAAATTTCAGAGACATTGCAGCTGGAAGGGACCTCAGAAGATCGAGTGCAAGAAGTCAGCTGGGGTCACAGGATCCCAGCAAGAAGTTTAAGGGCAGAGGTATTCAGCCTGGCTGGTTTGGAGTCAGATGAAGGCTAGGTTGAGTTGTACCTTACAGACTAGGCAATTCTCAACCCCGGGCATCATGGCACTGAGACGTTTTTGAGGGTGCAACACAAGCAAAGCGCTGTCAGATGCACAAACACGACTTGAGTCAAACCTGTAAGAGATTCCCAAGAGAATCAGATTTCAAAATAGAAAGCAGTGTTAACCCTTTCTGACCTGTTGTGGCCTTTCAAAGTTTGCTGCAACATAGAAGTTGATCTCTTACTTCCCTAGTTTTTGCTCTTTGATTACACCCTGGCATTTGGTGGTGGTGGTGGTGGTGGGGTGTTCTTGAGTTTAAAAGAACCAGCTAGGGATTAATAATTCAGACAACAGGCAGGGTATGGACCAATATGCATAAGCGTTCATAGACAAGAGCTAGGAAAGCAAGCAAGCAATATCCTGAATAGAGGATATGGAAGAGGAGTGCTGCTAAGAGGTCCCTGCTGCCCACAGTGCTCCTCTCCCACCTCCCTTTCACCTTAGCAGTGCCCCTTCCTTTTCCTTGCTCTTGCAGAAGCATGTGCATTGCAAACTGAACACACTTGTGGGAGATCAAGTGCTGGAAAAAACATGGCAGGCAATGCCTGTCGTTACCAGGGGTGGGCAATTATTTTGGGCAGAGGGCCACCTACTGAGTTTTGGCAAGCCAGTGAGGGCTGCATGCTAGGTAGCCAGGGGCAGATAAATATTAATTTTGTGCATTTTTTAGGGGGCCTGCAGGCCAGACAGAATGGCCTGGTGGGCTGCAACCAGCCCCCCAGGGCCACCTTTTGCCTACCCCTGCCTTAGACAAACATGGCTATAATACAGAAAAAAACTTGGGGCCTAAACCTGGTTAGAAAAGTTTCTGTAGGAAGCATTTTACTGATAAGTAACTGGACAACAAAAAGAGCCAGGCTCGGGCAGGATGAGGATGACTCTCTTCTTCCACAGGTCGCAGGCTAATTAAGGAGGTTCTCTGCATGGATCTGACAATTTAAAAAAAAAAAAAAAAAATCTTCATTCTTGACAGAAAAGACCCCCGCCCCCCAAAAAGCCCTCTAGTAACAGGCAGCCTTTTCTCTTCAGCTTCCAAGGTATTAAATGAGTGGGCACCTTTGAACATTAAGAGGGCCGATGACAAGATTTGTGAGATTGAAAGGTGCCCAAGAAGCACTGCTGCATTAAACAGATTTTAGAAGTTGCTTGCACCAGTTAACCTTGTTTCTTCATCTCAGGATATAGATCAGTCCTACCTCCCAAAGCAAAACGTGGAGTCTTACACCAAACAGCCCCATGGAAGTAAAGTAGCAGAACTGATGACATGGGACAAGGCAGAAACCCGGGCACAGGAGAGGAGGGTATGGTATCTGCACCGTAATCAAACCGAGAAAAGACCAGAGCACACAGGAACCCATTAGCAGGGGCAGCAGTTTAGAGATGCATTTCTCTACTGCTGTCTAGATCCGTTCTTTCCCCCAGCAAACAGGGGAAAAGAGCTTAGCACACACATAACCTTAAGCTTGGAAATAAACCGGTAGTTTAGACTGCCTGGTGAATTTTCTACATGACTTTCTACAGCAAAAATATCTAAGAGCTTTGTTGCTTCAAGTTCAGAGGTCAGGATGACAAGTAGCCTCCAGGGTCCCAGGGGCACTTTCAAACCTCTCGCCCTGTGATTTCCAAGGGTTTCACATCCTGCTGAACACTGTCCAGGCTTGAGTACAGCCTCTATAAATCTATAAAAACCCTCATAAACCACACAGTAGGAGAGGGGGAAAAAAAAAAAAAAGTTACCACCAAAGCTGGCCTGTTTCTGCTTCCATTTCAGGCACAGCTCCTGATTCTAGATCAAATCTAAAAAGCGTCCAGTACTGCAAGGAGCCGACAGAGGATCCCTCAACTCCACTGGAGAATGCAGCAGCACCATCGTTTACTTCGTTACTCTCTTACTACTTGGGGCAACAGAAAGAGAAGTCGAGTATCTGCCCCTGGATGACAGAAGCATGAGGCCTACTGGGGCTCTCCCCTGTACCCAGCTCTTCAGATTGTTTCTTGTGGTCGCTGCTGTACATTTGTGGGTGGTACCAGAAAAGTGGCCCCTACTTAGAAGACACAATGCAGAGCATTTGCTTACAATCTTTATTGGGAGTCATACAAAAGTTGCCAAAAAGTGAAAAAATACACTATATACAAAATCGTTTTCCTTGGGAGAAGAGGAGTGTCCCACGTTGGAGAACTATCATACTGTACTTTCAACTGCAGCCCCTGCTTCCACCTGTGGCCTTTTCTCTGTCTAAAAGAGGAATACACATGGTTAGGAGCCAGCAGCAGGTGCCACAGAACAGCTCATTCATGCACTAGCTCCGAAAGTGTCTAGCTTGGAGAGCTGCGTCAGCTTGGACTTTGCTGAGCATCAGAGAAGCCAAGAACTTCTCCAAAACACAGGCACGGACAATCAGCCTTGGCCTCGTGACACTGATTTTTGGGAATTGCACAGAACCAACATCCTTGCACACCAGCGCTTTGGGAGCAAGAACCACGTGGTGCAGTTCAGCTGCTGTCGAGACACTGCTGAACTCCACTGCACGCTGCCAGCCCCTCCGCCCCCTGTGCAAAGCTCCGTGGCTAGTTCACTTGACAATGAAAGGACGAGATACCTTGTGGGGAACATGCAGGCAATAAAAGTAAAAAGGGTTACAGCGAGCAGGCGTGAGCGTGTGCCTGCCCTGAGAAGGAACACACGTGGCCCCGACTCTTGACTCAACTGCCCACCTCCTCTTCCATTTTTTCTGCAACCTCATTTCCACTGGGGGCAGCATCACCACCGCCATTGACAGCCGGCTCGGGTTTAGATTTCTTAGCTTCATTGTCTCCCTGTTGAGTCTCCTCCTCTGGTTTCCTCTGAAGACAAAATCGTTTAGTCTTCACTATGTTCAATTTCAAGCTTAAAAGAGTTCAGCAAGTTAGTGTCTAGGTGTCACTGCATTAGTGGCAGGGTCACAACAGATAGTCAAGGGTTAGGATAGGACTGCACTGATACCGTGGGCTCGTTTTGGGTGCTCCAACCACTGGCCTGCAAATATGGCATCACCAGAGTTCTCACTGCAACTGAACAGCCTTAATGATTTGATTTGTAATTTGAGATGAAAAAAATTACTATTACAAGCAGTGATTTGTAGCACCTCCAACATTTCCCATCAGCTCTGCAGCAGATCACAGCCTGCTCCAAAAGCTGGACTGGAGGAGGCAGCCACCATGGCATGCCATCCCAGTTGCTCGTTAGGCCAATAAAGAATCTCTTGGGAAGTCCACATTCAAGAAACAAATAGGTATTTTTAGTGCAAAAAGGGCCTACGCACTAGTGTCTTTTAGAATTACCTGCATGTCTTTACTCTAGTAAGAGGTTCTTCTCCTCCCTCCTCTCCAAGCTTGTGGTACAAATGCGATACATTTAAACTGGCTTTGCTACGTGAAGTCCAATTCTCCATTTCCACTTGGCAATAAGGGAACCCAGCTTAGCCTGGTTGTTTGCCCTTCGAACAGGGTCTGTGCACTGCCCTGCAGGTCCCCTCTTCGCTACAGCACTCCTTTAAGGAGCGCAGGAGTCGCATAACCCAGCTCCAAGGTTAAGCCAGCATGGGACAGGTGGGGGGCTGCACAGCACCAGCAACCATCAAAGCCACTCTCAGGAAGCCAGATGGTTCCCAGGCTGGTTGGGTCCCAGTGGAAAGGAGTTCTGTGCAGTGTTTCTGGGTTTAATTTTGAGCACAGCGGCAGGCTTGTTAACCAAGAAGTGCACAGTGCAAGCTAGTGTTCATTATTTGTCCAAATAGCAACTTCTGAACACACCTTTTTTCTGACAAGGTGGGAGATGTCTGAAACACACTGAGATGCTCCGTCAGCCGGTTTTCTTACTGGAATCTGTTACAAGACAGGTTGTAAACCAAACGGCAAGCGTTAAGGCTGTCCAATAAACTCAGTTAAAATGTTCTCCCACAACAATACCCTGCACTTACCGGGGAAGCGGAAACACTTCCTCCGCTCTGTGTGAAGCCAGAAGTAGTTCCACTAACCTATGAACAGAAAGAAAACAATAGTTAGCCAAGGCCTGGGCCACGGGATAATTTCAGCATCCAAAAGTACTGCAAAGGAACTGTCCCGGGGACAGGAGGGGGAGGAGGGAACAGGCAGGCAGTCAACAACTACTCTTGGATTTAGGACAGTAAATGCACAACATGGAAGAGTAGTAAAGATGTTAAGTCTGTATACATCCTCTGGCCTGGAGCCTGCTGCCCCCTCTGGAATCCATGCATCTATTTCCAATAACTAAATTGAGATTTTTAATATGCTTTTATTTTAAGGGAACAGCTAAGCCAACATTTAAAAATAAGACTGGCCATCCATTTCTCCAGTCAGCACTGACCAACTCGATCCTGATTTTTTTTTTTAAAAAAAAAAATCACTATGAAGTGCTTAACCCTCAAATTAAATTATTTTATTTCTGTACAAGGTGTTCAAATTGTAGAGTAAGTGTTACCCCAGCAACCAAGATTGAGCCGACTGTGCAGACAGACTTAGTTGAAAGCTAGGTTGGTATAAACTAGTCTGTATTAGTAATCTGGAAACAGCAACAGTTCAGTCTTCTGACAAAAGCTTGCCTCTTCTACCAAGCAGCACTTTCCTTAGGAGGAATATTACTAAGACAGACAGAATGATGTCACCCCCAAGAGAGAGCCAGAGGTAGCTTTATCCAAATAAAATAAATACACTTTTTAAGTACCATAGACGGACTAACCAGAGTTGCCTTCAAAGCCAGTTCAGCAACTCCCGCACTCCTCTGAGACTCCTTCGAGTCGTCGATCTTCTCCTTTATTTCAGGAAGCAGTCCCTTCAGCTCCTCGATCTCCTTCTCATCTTGAGCAGATCCTCCTGCTTTCTTTATCCGTTCGGTCAGCATCACTACAAGATGAGTGGGAGTCGTGCATTAGCCAACGACGCAACAAGCAAGAGCTGCTCAGGTTCTCCCCCCAGTGCAGACAATGTCAAGTTTGCTGCGATTATAATGAGTTGTTAGAAGAGCAGTGGAGGCTGCTCATGGGCAATTAAGCTGAGGTTACCCATCACGGACTTGAGAACGATTTTACTGACAGGACCCAGCACAGCATAATCATAGGAAAGTGGGGCTGGACAGCACATCATGAGGTCACATCTAGTCCAGCACCCTGCTCAAGGCAGGACCCAGCCCTGACTAAACCATCCTGTCCAACCTGCTCTCGAAAACTTCCAGGGGTGGAGATTTCACCCATCACTTCTCTGGGCAGCCTGTTCCAATGCCCAGCCACCCTCAGGGCCAGAAAGTTGTTCATCCTGAGCCTAAATTTCCATTGCTGCAACTTGAGGCAACTGCTCCTAGTCCTGTCCCCTGCGGTCACAAGGAAGAGACCACCCAGCCTAATTGCCCTTCAGGTATTTAAAGACTGTCATCAAATCCCCTCACCCCTCCCTTCTCCAAGCCCCCAGTAAGTTTCTCTCCCCAGGCTCCAAAACATTTTTCCTGCTCTGCGCTGGACTCTTTCTAAACTGCCTACATCCTTCTGGAAGTTAGGGGTCCCAAAACCAGACAGCACCTCCAGGGGAGGCCTCATCAGTGTTGAACAGCGCAGAACCATTTCCCTGATTCTCAAGTGACACTGCCGTCAATACAGCTCAGTAAGCTACTGGAAGGTTTTTTGGCAAGAGCACAGTTAGGTCACATTCAGCTTACCCACAGGTCCTCCCTCCTCTGCAGTCCTGCAGCCCAGCCAGTCATTCCCCAGCCTGCATTTCTGCACACAATTATTCCATCCCAAGTGCAGCACTTTGCACTGGTCTTGGTCGAATCTCACCTGGTTGATGGTGGACCTTTTTTCCAGCCTATCCAAGTCATTCTGGATTCTAGCCCCGCCCTTCAGAGAATCTGCAACTCCACTTAACTCAGCATCATCCACAGATTTGCTAAGTGTGCGCTCGGTCCCAGCATCTAAATCATTCGTGAAGATGCTGAACAATACCAGACCTAGGGCAGACCCCCACTTGATACATCCTCCCAAGTCCACACTGAGCATGATCAAGCCAGTTACGTGTCCACCTTACAGCATCTGCACCTAGTCTGCTTTGGCAGCAACAAGCTGCGGAAATAAAGCCAGCTTTCCTACAGGTCAATTTACTAGGCCAAGCTTTAGCAAACCCACTTACCCAGTCTCTTGTCAATGACTTCTACAGATTTACTGAACTGCAGAACAGCCTCATTGAACTGGCTGTTGTAGTGGTACGCCAGAGCCAGCTGGTAGTGAGTCTCTGCTAACAGGCGGTCGTGCACCTCTAGGTACTTCTGCTGTAGGGTGAGGCAGGCCTGGAACTCCTCTATAGCTTGCACATAGTTTTCTACAAACAGATACACAAGCCTTTATTAGACACAACCAGTAGGTATTAGTTCAAACAAACTGGTCACCTCCAAGTCACCACACCACCAGCTTCCCACCCACAGTTTAGTCTCAACTGTTCCTGCATTCTGCACAGCCTGGAAGCAGCTGTGACCTGTGCTGAGCAATGCCAGCCGATAGCTTGGAGTCACAAGGAGCCTGTGGTTCAATGGTGGAATCCTTGCCTACCACACAGGAGACCTGGGTTCAATTCCCAGACACTTACACAACTACAGCCATGGAGGCACCAAACATCTGGACTTAATCCCTGCCCAGGCATATGCATCGGAGGTCTGGGTGGCCCTCATGCATACACCATGATCCAGGAGGGCTGACAGGCTCCATAAGGAACCCAAGAGTGAGTCAGTTTTAAGTAGCTGGGCAGCTTGTGGAAGACATCCCTCCTCAGCTCAGCACTTTGAAAAGGTCATTCTCCTGTTTCTGAAAGATCTACACAAGGTCAAGCAGGGGAACACTGGAAGTATGAAATCAAGTACAAGTTATATTGCTCAGTAATAAGCAAAGAAAGTAACATCAAGAAGGAACTTTTATAATATCAAACTTTTAATATCAAGAAGGAACACCTTTTATAATTAAGCAGAGAAAGCTACCCAAGACCATACCTTCTAACTCCAAACTCTCCACTGATGGTTGAGGTGGTACAAGAGGCACAGCCCCCTTTGTTAACCCACTGAGAAGCCTCCCAAATTGTTTAAATATTTGCCACAGGAAGCTTCTGACACCCCATTGTAGCCCGAGGTTAAGTAAAGAGAAGGGCATGCTGGATTCTTTAACCACAGTCTTGGGATAATTCAGCTTTTCCTAGCACAGGCAGAGAGTGAACTCAACTGGAGGGTTTGGAAGAGCACCCTAGGACACTGTCATTCAGCTTCTCACATATTAAGGCACTTTTAACAAGTAAAAAAAACAAACAAAAAACACACTTCATTTTCTAGAATGTTCCTAGCCACAGCTTAAAACACAGCCGTCTTGCACAAGCAGACTTCCAAGTCCCTACTTCTAGTCCAGCCACAGGAGAAATTTCAACTCGGAACAACTGCTTCCCGTAACCTATGTCCAAGGTCATTTTATCCCTCCAGCCATGCTAGAGCGCACCCAGGGGGCAGGGCAGGCTAACGCCAGGCAGAATGACACCAGCTTAGCACTAGAGCACTTTACGCAGAATCAATTCAAGATAGCGTACCAGATTCAACGCTGACTTCTCCTAGCTTTAGGTGAGCCTGAGCAGCCAGGAGCTGAGCTTCTTTTGTTTCCTGTCTAAATCAAAAGAACCATAGTTAGGCTGTTTGCTATAAACCCTGATCAGAGTCCAAAGCTTCTCTCTCAAGGGTACCTTCAGTATGCCCCTTCCCCAGTAGCTCTCTGAACCCGCACTAGGGCTACAAATAGACATCATGAAATTAAGCAATCAGCTGTGCCAGAATTTTTCACAGCACAGATCTGCTTCACCAAATGAAGCCCCTTGTCCTGCCCCCTGCTTCCCCACTCAGCCAGTCATGCCCCGGCTGAGTGGGTAAAGTGCCACAGAGGTAAAACATCCGCTGTAGCGAAGCAGCAGAGTCTGTTACCACCTTTGTTGCACCACTGATTCTCCTTTAATGTGGCACAAAGGGCATCAACATGTATTGGTAAAAAATTGTGGCAGCACAAATGCTGAGCACCAAGTGATCAGTTTCTACCCTAGCAGGTTCCTGTAGCAGAGATACACCAAGACTAGAAGTTTTTACCTTTTATAGATGACCTTGGCCAACTCCAGCATGTCCCAAGCTAGCTCCAGATTCCCAACTTCATCCTCTTCGCTTTCCTGAGCGGACTAAAGTGACATTGAAATTTTATTGCAATCCCACAAGCTACGCATAACATGGCCACATTTAGCAAAGATTCTCACCAGACATTTAGATATCAAGCGATGCACATTAGTTATCTGAATACCTTCAATGTTACTTCAGGACTCTTTAAAGATGTTAGTAGTAAGAGGAACAGGAAAGCACAAAGTTGGGTCCCTCAGGTACTGCTGGAAGCAAAGTACTCCACCAAAACCCAGCTTCAAGGGGATGAAGTGATTTAATTTAGAACAGATGTAGAATGGCTTGGCCAAGTATGTTTGCTGACTGAAACAACTTGTTGAACAAAGTCGTGGTATATCCCTACAGCACCAGTTACTGGGACCTGAAAAGTCTGGCACCAATTTGCACCAAGTTCATGTATACATGACCCTGTCCTGTTCAGCCACTGCCTTGACAAGCCTGCAGGCACAGACATCTAAATCACGGGTCACTGAAGCATAGAAAAAAAGAGAGAAGGGAGGGGGCAGGAGGACATAAACCTTTAAACATGAGTAGATAATATGATGACATTATAAGCCGAGAATTAAGAAATAGCTACTTCTCAACTTATTTGTCATTCTTCTGGAACAGAAGTAGTTCCATGAGATCCCTTGTTGGGTGCCAAGTCAGTTATTAGCTGAGAAGTTTCAAGTTCTTGATAAAAGCAGCAGCAGAAGCCATGCTTGCATTATACCTGGTTCTCGCCAAGGGCATTCTGTTCATCCAGAAGCACTGAGGACCACTATTAACAAGGAAGAGATCTCACCTTGTCTTCAACTACAGATTCGTTTTCCTTATCTTCTTCAGCTTTTTCGTTTTCTTTATCGTCTTCTTCCGATCCTTCTGTTTCTGCAACAAACATAGGAGGATGAGAACATGCCCAGGTAACAGGATGCGCTATATAGTTAGTCGGGCGATGCAAAACAGATTAAATCTAGTTTCCTTCCCCTTTGTGAAAGCTTAGGGGTGACAAACGAACAGTATAACCAGCATTCGCATCTCCTGTTGGCAGCAGCCACTATATTAAGACGTCAGGTATTGTAGTAGTGAAAACCAAGCTCATTCCCATTCTATAGAAGCAGCTGTTTAGGATTAAGTCCTTATTTAGTACCATGTGGAAGAAGGGAGAAGCTAATCCAGGGATAGATTCTCATATATTTCTGCTTTCATACATTCCTGGTGACCTTCCACAGGAGTCAGTGGACTGGAGCAGCTGTGCAGCAGGACTAGCCACCTGTAGATGGGCAGACCAGGCAGTGTTCCAGATAACTAAGGAGAAGGCTGAGTAAGGGGGATAGGACAGAGGTCCATAAAAGTCATGAAGGGTATGAGTCAAGTGAACAGGGAACTGTTGCCCACCAAGTCCCACAACACTAGAACCAATAAGGGGCACCCACTGAAACTGGTCGGTGACAGGGTTTATAGCCAACAAGTTTTTGGTTGGTTGGTTTTTTGTTTGTTTTTGTAAACACAAAGCAGGGAGGGCATTGAGTAGGGGGATAGATCACTCCAGGGATTTCCAGTTCAGCACTCTCCCTGTATAGCATCCACTTCTGCCCCATCAGAGACAGGATATGGGCTAGATGGACCATTGGTCTGACCTAGTATGGGTGGCACTTATGCTCTCATGTTTTCAGCACGATAGCAGTCACAGGAAGGAAAGAAGGAAGAAAGGAAGGAAGAAACTCTACATTGGACTCCTACATTTGCTCATTCAGTATAAGCAGCTCTTGGTGACAATTACTGCTGTGTGGTACCAGTTCAGCTTAGTACTTCCAAAGGATATTTACATCATCTCTCCAGCAAGAGAAAATAGACTAGGGGGTCAAGGATAGAGCAAGCTTAGCTCAGCTAACTTTTAGATTGGGGCAAAGCCTGAGACATGCAAAGAGAGCGGAGAGGGAATAGAACAACTTGCTGCGTGGATGCTGGAGTCAGCCTAGGAGCCAAGCAGACTGTAACTCTCCTAGAACAACCTAGTTGTTTTCAGTATGAAAGAAAAGAGGCCTGATCTCCATTGGTGATTAGCATGGAGCTTCAGCTTTTGCAACTAGAGCTAAAAATCCACAGCCTCCTCAGCAGCCTAGCTGATGCTGAAACAGCCCATGCCTGTATGTATGAGAAGTAACTGCTTTATCAGAGCTGGAACACAGGAGATATCACAAAGCTAAAAAAAAAGAACAGAGTACTTAAATAGTTTGAAGTGACCAATTCAGGGAGGCTGGGAACAATGTTACACCATGAAATACAGCAGCCAACTTGGAAAAAAGAGTGTCCCTGTCTTCACCCCACCCTTCCTCAAACAGCTGGAGAGCACAGCTGTACAGCACCCTTCCTTCTGTTGGAAGAGAGGTGCCTCTGAAGGCTGTCTGGACTGCCAAGGCAATCAAACAATGTGGATCTTCATCCATCACTGTTAAAGTGAAGCTTTTGCTATGAACCACTCAGCTGGCCCAAGTGCGCCATTATGCAGATGGGGACACTTTATCAGCTACTAGGAAGTGGCCTACTGCGTCTCGTCACTGGAGTGCGTGGTACTGTGAAAGTTTGTTTCCAAGACTGTTGTTAATTAGTTTAGCAGCTATGAAGATGCAGGGAAGCAGAACAACATGAAAAGCTACACAGCAGAAGCACGTACAAGCGAGCACCAATTGACAATTAAATTTTAAATGTTTATCGTATTCAATTTAGATTTCCCCACTAAGTTTGCAATCTTATGTGATGGCCAGTAAGAGATTCCACGGAGGAGTTCCAATTTTCAAAAGGGATCAATTCAGTGGTTTCTATTGTACTGCCCCGTCTAGAATGGAGGTCGGGACCAAAGGCAGCTTGTGTTTCAAGTTACCTGAAGGTTAGTGAAACAAACCCAGATACATGCAAGTGAACATCCATTCAGTATTCTCTACCAGCCCAGTGACTGCTTTCAACACATTATGTGGATCTCTTTGGGAGCCGCAGCTTGCTTGAACAGTAGCAATTTTGCTTTGCAGTTAGTTAAGCGTTAGTTTAGAGAAACTAAGACTATTTGCTGTTCCTTGGAACTTAAGTGAAACCAGCTTCTTGGATACAAGATCCTCCAAGTGCCCCCCTTGGCAGAGCCCTTGCCTAAGGCACACAGAAAATCCTGAATGGAATCATTTTTACCCACTGTTAGAAAGTCAAATCCATCAAGTAATCCACCCACAAGTACTTCTCCTCTCCCGGTTACCTTCTCCCTCTTCCACCAGGTCCTCTCTCTCTTCTTTTTCTACCTTAGCGCCTTCCGCTTCCATCAGGTCATCTTTCTCATCTTCTTGTGGTCCCTTAGCACCTACTTCAACTTTGGCTTCTGTTTGCATTTCGTTGAAGGGCTCCCCATCCTCTCCAGGTGCAGTGGCATCTGCAGCTACAGGTGGCGTTTCCTTTGACTGAGCATCTTCAGGCTCCTTAGGTGGCTTCTCTTCTGGAGCTGCCTCTGCCTGCTCTTCTTTGTCTTCCACTTTCTCCTCCACAGCTGCCTCTGCCTGCTCTTCTTTCTCTTCCCCCTTCTCCACAGCTGCCTCTTCCTTCTGTTCCACAGCACCCACAGCCTGTTCTTCAGCAGTGTCTGCTACAGACTCTTCTGAGCCTGCCTTCTCTTCCACAGCAGCCCCTGCCTCCTTTACTGCAACTTCTGCCTTCTCTTCCACAGCTGCTGCTGCATCCTCTCCTGCAGCCTCTGGCACTGGCTCTTCTGCCACTACCTTCTTTTCCACAGCTACAGCTGCCTGCTCCCCCGCAGCCTCCGCTTTCTCCACAGCAGTCTCTGCCTGCTTCTCTGCAGCATCAGCCTTCTGCTCCTCTGCCCCTGCCTCCTCTTCCGGAGCTGCTTCTGCTGCTATCTGCTCCTCTGCCCCCGCCTCCTTTTCTGGAGCTGCTTCTGCCTGCTCTTCTGCAGGTTCTGCCTGCTTCACAGCTGCCTCTGCCTGCTCCTCCACCTCCTCTTTAGGCTTGGTCTCTGTGCCAGCAGCCACCACCTCTCCTTCCAGTACCTCTTCCATTTCTACATCCTCTCCTCCAGTTTCCTTCCCACCTTCGGTCAGTGCTGGAGACTCTTCTGCAGATTTTTTGGATTCTTCCTTTTCCCCCATGGCGTTATATACCTGCTCTCTCAACTCCTCCCTTGCTTCTTCTACATGGTTAAGGAAGATGAAGCATAAACATTTCTTCGAGTTTAGTAATAAAAGCATTAACGGGAAATGAAAATACCACCCTCAGACCCTCCAATGTGTTGGTTTCTCATCAAGCCATAGCACGTTCCTAAAACATCACTCCCTTTTGAAATCTAAGGAAAACTGGATCCCAGCTAATAAAGCAGCTTGTGATGAACACGCCTCTCCCCCCGCCCTGATCAACACACACCAAGGCATTGTAAGCAGCCACTCAAGCAATATGCAATTCTGTGCACTAGCGTTTTTAGTCACAGCTAAGCAAGAGATGCCAAGCTTTATCCAGTAGTCTAGAGGGGCAGAGATGTGCCATCTTCATCTGCAAAGGAGTACAGAATAAAACCTGCCCTTGGACTTCTTACAGGAAGGACAGTTAGAGAAGTTTCACCAAGATGTCAGTCCTTTATCAGGGGAAGGAGTCTTATGCAATGACACCACATGCCATTGTACTGCTGCAAGTTTACAAAAGCAGTGCGAGTGGGCTAGGAAGTTTAGATACAGGACACAGTATCCGAGTGCAGTGCTTCAAAAAAAAAAAAAAGCCTGACAAACCGAGTGACTTTTTGTGTTTGATTTGAGTCGAGTTAGGGAAGAAGAGTTCCTTGCAAAATGCTTTTAGCTACGTTTGGATGAATTGATAAAACAAGACTCCTTCGCCTACTAAAAGTTTTGGTGTAAAGCTTCAGGGCAGCGAAGTACTCAGAATCCAGCATTTACAGGAAACAACATGGCTTGGCATCTCTATGGCATGTTAGACAGCTCTACATACCATCTATGTTATCAGCACTTTCTACCATTGAGTCATCTTCCGTTTTCTCCCCTTCTTCTTCAACTTGCACTCCTTCCAAGGCATTTCCCAACACACCATTTTCCATTCTAGGAGAACAACAGAAGTATCATTCCCTGGTACTCGCTAACAGCTACATGTATTGCTTAAAGGAACAACTAGCATGGAGGACTCTGCTCAGTATCAAGTTTAAGAGTGCCGATTCCAACCTCAGCCCTTTTTGTTGTTGTTAACACACTCCTGTCTTAACCTGCCAAGACTTATTACTGCAGACCCTGCTACTGGTCTCTGAGGGAGACTGCTGGTCAATGGCAATATTTACAAGTGCTCAGGTACCACGGTGATGGTGCTCTAATACTTGGACATGCACACTCCAGTTGCACACTGTTTAATAGTGCTGTAGGCAATAACACTTCCCTCTAGACCAGTGGTTCTCAACATTTTTTGCACCAGACTCATTTGTAAACATTGATGGCCAGACCCGAACCAGTGTCCCTCACCCCTGACTTGCTGCCCTCCCACCCCCCAGTGGCAGGGGCAATCCCCCAGCAACCCCTTGCAGCCTGGAACTGTGCCAGCTTGCCAGGAAAAACCCATGGCTTCCCATAGAGAATCCATTTTTAAAGTTTGCTCATGACTTTGTCATATATCCTTGTGACCCATGAGTTGAGAAACGCTGCTATAGAGCAGGGGTTTGGCAGCCTTTTAGGAAGCTGCTTTAAGAGAGCCATATTCACAATTGGACCGCTGCTGCCGCTTCGGATCCCAGTAAGCTGCCACCATTCTAGCTTTACAGGCTGTATGCAATTACTTGGCAGGCCATAGGTGCTAACCCCTGCTCTGGTGGCATCTGATCATTTGCCTAGCCCTCTCCTACAGACTGTAGGACCTTTCTTGAAAATACAGATGCTGTCACATTAATCAGACCAACAGTCAGACTTGCTTATATCTTCCCTTGAACTAAAATCTTCTGCTCTATAACCTAACCCCTTTTTCCAATACCCCTTCCCAGTTTCCAACAAGTCAAAGATACCCCACTAAGTTTTTCTCTTTGAGGGGCCATTAGGTTATATTGTCAGTGTTTCAATCAAACAGGAACCGAACTGAAGTTATTCAGTTACTCCCACTGAAATTCTTATCCAGTGGTGTCACTAAGTTACAAACAGGTTACCATTTTAAGCTATTAAAAACATCCAAAAATAACATTCTGCTTTCTGGCAGTTCTGTAAATGTTAAAGTACCTTGCTAATTCCAGAAGAGACTTTCCATAGTAAAAAAAAGCTTCCGCACACTCGTCCGCTGTCTCACCATATTTCTTACCCCTACAAAGGAAGTTAATTCAGTCATTCGTTTGAACCGATTGTTAACAGCATTTTTTTTTAAATGAATAGAGATAAGTATTTCCTGGGTGAAGGCAGCCAGTTTCTACACTGACATGTATTCCCCTGCCTCCTCCCTCAACCAAGTGGTGATTCTCTTTCACAATCAGAGTCTGGTTGCTCCAAGCACTCAAAAACAGGATATCTTGTGGAAGGCAGACTTTTCTCCCAGAAATCAGGCAGCGTGTTGATGATATACTCCCAATTTGTCATTTGGACATTTGGATTAAAGAGATCCAAGTTTCCAATTATGGGACTGGCATTTCTGGTTACAGCTGTAACGCTTAGCTGCTCCCCCAGGGTCTGAACATGTAAAACCATGTTTTCATGAGTCTGAGACACTGCATGGATCTTATAATGCCAACAGTTAATTAAGGATCATACACATAACTTTGTACAAACAGCTCATCTGAGCCAGAGCCAGGTTTCTCCATCTAAGCTTGATCACACTTGAGTGATGCACACAAAAACAAGCTCAACATAACAGAAATGCGAGTAACGTTCCATTACTTACAATAAACTAGCAGCTTCCTGGAATGCATTAACAGCCGCTGGAATATCTCCCATTACCAGGTGCTTCTGTCCTAGGCCCAGTAGTTTCTTGGCTTCCCCGTCGACATCCACACTGGAAAGTTATTAAGTACAAAGCTGTGTCAATCACCGTTTAGAGAGAACATCTGTATCCTCTCAAAAGCTCACATCTTTGCTTACCAAAAGATTTAAACCCAGCCTTCAAACCCTTCCCACTAAGGGTCAGACATTAGCCAGCCATGGTATATATAGTACCAGGTCATGAGATGCCACATTATAGATTAAATTCTGGAGAACTTTCATTCACACCAGTTTTTAGGTGTGCTACCCTGGGGATTAAGACCAATTCTTCCATTTGTAGCAGCAGAGCAGTGGTTCTCAACCAGGGCACAGCGAGATCCCTTCAGCGGTGCCACAGTGGTGTGGGCGCCACTGCTGCTATGGCCAGGTG